GTGGGTAATACAACAACCATGGTTAATTTCCTACAACTTGTTCTGTAACTCTGTTTTGTTTGTATTGTTCTTATGCTATTTTGTAAATGGTTGTCTATTAATTTTTTCCTTGTATTTTTTAAAAATAAAAAATATATATATATTGTTACTAGTTTTTACTTTTATTAGTTCTTAACCTTTAAGCTTGTGGTATCTTTTCCATTTTTATGTTACAATACTGCTGATATAGTTGTTTTTTGGTGTGTGTGTGTGTGTCTGTCTGTGTTTATTTTTCTATTTTTGGCAGTACTTGGGCCTCTGCACTTGGCTATATTTTCAGATCATTTTTTTTTTTTTTTTATTTTGTGACAAGATCTCATTAAACTGCCCAGACAGGCCTTGAACTTGGAATTATCTAGCTCAGCCTCCTGAATAGCTGAGGCTACAGGTGTGTGCCACTGTGTTGCCTAATTGGTTTTTACTGTATTTCCATACCTGGTTTGTCATTGTGTTATTGTATTACTGCATATTACTGCAAAAAACCAACAAAAACCTTTTCACAGGGCTCATATTAAAAGTTTTCTCCTGAGAGGTATGAGGGATTGAGGCCTCAAAGAAAAGCTTCTTACTAAGGAAATCCTCATATTAAAAGTGGAAGAGATACCCATCTCAACAGATGTGCAAATCTGCACATAGAAACAGAAAAACAGTTTCCTAATGTGGAATAGTGATTTATTCCATTATAAGCATTTACTGGGGCTGGGGATTTAGCTTAGCGGCACAGTGCCTGCCTATAAGCCTTCACATGGTTAGCCGTGGAGAGTAACAGGCCTACTGGTGAAACATGTCACCTCAAATGGAGACAGTATGAAAGTAATGTCAAGGACTAAGAACTTTTTTTTATAAAAGAAAAGCAAGTCTTATCAAGGATTAAATTAATTTTAAAAACAAATGCAAGCTATCAAATCACCCTTCTCAACTTGACAGTCTACCTGAGGCACAACTGTCAGGTAAAAACATAGATCTTTACAACTTGGTGGTCCCAAGTTAAAAAAACAAAAAACCAACAAAAACCTTTTCACAGGGCTGGGCATGGTGGTGCATGCCTGTAATTCCAGCACTCAGGAGGCTGAGGCAGGAGGATCACTGTGAGTTCAAGACCAGCCTGGGCTACAGAGTGAGGTCAGGGCCAACCTAAACTCAAGAGGAAGACCCTGTCTCAAAAGGACACACACACACACACACACAAACATCTTTTCATAGGAAAAGAATAATATGAAAATAGCTCAATAAATACACTAACATGCAAAAATATATAGGGAAGGAGGAACATGTAGCTTTGACTTAACTGAAGAAACCAAGAGGAGACTAATCTACATAGGAAAATATACATCCTGGAAAGTCTGGTTTGATTTAGAGTACAAATCTATGACTTGATTCTCTCTTAATTCCTGAATGGAAATGACATCCTGCATTACTTACACTTCACAGTTCAGACACCTGACCTCACTTGGCACTAGTCCTTACTCACTCTAATGTTTACTGAGATAAGTCTGGAAAATTTAGAGATCTATCTTAAAAACAAAAATAATCACACTTTATATTCCCCTTTTTGTAGCTACCTTAGACCTGGACTTGTTACTAGAAAATTCCTAAAGGAAATTTAAATGTAAGTCTGGCTTTGCTGAATCAAGTACCCCAGTTAATATTTAGAAAACACCCACTTTTGGGGTCTAATAGTATTATGGAGGGATAGCTGAACAAAGTGTGTATGTCTCAAAACCAGTGTTAAATCAGTCTCAGGGTTGAGAGGAAAAGGGGAATCTAAAATCACAAGTACAGACATATCAAGGATCCTTGTTCTTCTGGGTCCATGCTTCCTTCAGGGTCCTCATCATTATACATGTTCTCTGCCATCTGCCACACTTGCATGATACTAACAGCAATTTCAAAATGATAAAATAAATACATAAATCATCTAAGAAAAACAGTGCAAGATATGGAAGAGAAATTTTAAAAAGAGATTTTGAAAATGAGTGTATCTTGCAAATGAAAAGCTCAGTATGACAAAGAACTGAGTGGGAAGCACCACCAACAGATTGGGTCAAGCAGAAGTTAGAATTTTAGGGCTTAATGACAAGGTTGATGAATTACTACAATCAGAGTATAATTGAAACAAAAATAAAAAAATATGAACAAAACATCCAAGAGCTCTTGGACATAGTGAAAAGACCACATTGAATGTTCTGTATATAAGAAGGCATCAGGATATGAACTAAAGACACAGAAAATTGGTTCAATGAAATAATGGAAAATGTTTCAGATGTTGAAAAACATGTACACATCCAGGAATAGGAGGCATCTAGAACCCCAGACAAATACGGCAGGAACAGAACTTTCCTGTCATCTTACAGTTAAACAGAAGAGTACAGAATAAGGAATAAAGATTAAAAGCTTCAAGGTAGAAACCAAGTCAGTAAAAATGGCTAACCAATTGGAAAAACCACAGATTTTTCAGAAGAAACTCTGAAGAGCATTAGAAAGTAAGACAAATTAAGAAATGGAAGGTGCAGACCTGAGTAGCTTATTTAAGGACTCTGTATTCAAAGGAGGCCTTTGAAAAGACTCATTCTGCTTAGATAAGAAGAAACCCTGTAAAGCAACTCTGATTAGAAAACCCACCTAGTGGGCAATGACCAATGAGAAAAAAAAAGAACAGTGCCCTACCTCCAGTAGATTTCCACCTATATGGTGTGTGTTGTTAAAAGTAAGTGTTCAGAACTTTTTTCACAAAACCATGTTTCAGCATAATATGTATGAATGCAAGCAGGCAAAAAAAAAAAAATGCAACCCCCAAAACCAAAAAAACCCCAAAACACTGCAGTTACATTATCTTCATGAGGTGCTGTGAACCCAATGATTATTTTGTTTTATTGCTGTACTTTTTTGTCTTATTCCATGAATACCTCTTTAGTCATTTTTTCTCTGTCCTGTTTCCTTTTTTTCTCTTGAAAACATTGTTTCTAACAAGAGCTTCAAATTGAACAAAGCACAGATATGCTGGAAGGGACCAGTCAGAGACTCACCCTCTCTGTGCGCAGTGAGTCTTTATATAAAGGGAACAGCCCTGTCCTAGGACACAGCATTGAGCAAAACAGCAGATATACCAAGAATACTTAAAGACTACTTTTCAAGGTATCACCAACTATTGTAACTTTGGGACTCTCAGCTAAACATTAGACTTCAAATATTAAAGTGTTTCATGCAAAGTCTGGAAGTTGTAGAATCCTAGATTTTGTTTCATATATAAAGCATTACTTTCCATCACTTAGAAGTACTACAATTCCTATAACGGAATGTTGTGCTATTTTGTATTTAATAGAATATTCTCAAGTGCATGTTAATAGTAAATAATAAAGGGGGTTATTCTGAGAAGTCTTAATCAATGTCAGTCTCATTACCACCCTCTCTGCATTTTCTTCCTCTAGCTTGTCCTCTCTCCTATCTCCAGAAGTCTACCTCATGATTTCCTGTTCTCTCTTCTTAATTATTGATGTATTAATTTATGTATATTTTAGGTTTCTCATGTAAGAGAAATGTAATATTTAATGTTCATAATCTCGCCAGTTTCGCTTAACATACTGATTTCTAGTTCCATTGATTTTCCTGCAAATAGGATAATACTGTTTTTCTTTATGACTGAATAGTATTCCATTGTATGTATATACCATGTTTTCTTTATCCATTCTACTATTGACAGGCATCTAGGCTGTTTCCACAGCTTAGTTGTTATGAATTGCACAGATATAAATATGGGTATGGATGTATAAATTTAGTATGTATGTATGTATTTCTTAATTCTTCCAGGAATATTCCCAAGAATTGTATAGCTGGGGCAGGGTCAATTATATTTTGATGTTCAGTCTTTTAAAAATTTCCATACTCATTGTCATAGTTCTTGTATTAGTTTATATTCCCACCAACATTGTGATTTGATTAATTTGCAGGTTTATGTTTCTTATTTTCTTCTTTTTACATTTTTGAGTTACTGCTTCTCTAGGACCTCAAGAAGCAGCATTAGCTTATTTATTTGGGCTTGTTCTGATTTTCTAATGTAGGCACTCAGAATTATGAACTTTCCTCTAGAGTTGGCTGTCGTATGTAGTGCCTCAAATATAGTGATACCTTGGTACACAAGTGCTTCTGAGAGACGCAGTGAGAACCAAAATTGATGAATAACAAATTGTTTTGCCTGGAATGAGTATTGAGTGAGGAAGCAGTTGACCCTGTGAAGTACTAGCTTGTGTGTCAAGTACAAAAGTTTTGTGCCAAAATAACATTGAGTACCAAATTTGATGTGTTTTAAAACATTCAAGTTTCAAGGTATGACTGTATCATTTGACTCCAGGAAATTTTAATGTCTCCCTTGATCTTTTCAGTGGCCCATTGATTAAGAGTATATTACTCAATTTTCAATGTTCTGCATAGTTTTTGTGGCTTCTTTTGCTGATATCTTGTTTCATTCCATTTTGAAGTGATAAAGAGTAAGAGATTATTTTCACTCTTGATATATATATATATATATTGAGACTTGTTTTATAACCTAGAATTTGGCATACTTTGGAGAACATCCATGGTATCCTGGAATAGATTATATTCTGATAATGTTGAGTGAAACATTCTGTATACTTAAAATTGAATGTTTTATTTGACTTACTGAGGTTTTCATTTCCAGGATTTCTGATTGGCTGTTTTCCACATTTTCTGTTGTTTTACTGATACCATCTTTCACATCTTGCATTGTCTTCTTTAATTCAGTCAGCTGATTTGTAACTTATTTGAGCTCATTTACCATTCTAGTAATTGATACATCTACCAGTTTATTTGTCTTTTCTTTGACCTCATTGATCATTTTAACTATCTGCTTTTGAAATTATTTGCCCCTAATTTGATCTACTTCATTATCTCTGGGATCATCTTTTTGGGATTTATTTCTCTCTCTCATTATTTCCCATTAACAGGACACTGCACTGCCAAACCTGATGTGATCTTCAAGTTGGAGCAGGGATCTGGGCCATGCATGGTAGAAGAAGCCTCAAGCCAGAGCCTCCCAGGTCAGTTGTGCATACTAGGTGGGGATATTATCCATGAAGAGCTGTTTTCACTATTTTTTCGTATGTACCAGTAGCTGTTCTCATTACTTTGTAGATTTGCTTGCTACAGCTTAGAAAAAAGCACACATGTATAAATCCATTTGTTTTTGTTGTTCATGTATATTTTGTTAGAATTGCCAAAAAGCCTGTTCTCATATGGATATTACATATTTTTCTTAGATCCTTTCTCTAAATTCTTTAGTCTTCCATGTTCATACAGAATTTTCACCACTCAGGCATTTGTACATCTGTTCTTTCAACATTTGCTTTTGGATTACTGCATAGACACTGGCCTTTTTTTAATTGCAAGGATTAATACATACTAATTACACAGTGCATTTTGTTGAAAGATAATATTAAACCAGTCTGCAGTGTTGGGTAGTTAGGTGAAAGCCACAAGGAGTGTTTTATGAGAATGAGGTAAAGAGTAGGGTATAGCATTTTATTTTAGGAATTACGACTGATGAGTAGCCTGCCTTTTAAAAAATGTTATAATAAAAGTTATTAGAAAATAATATAGTATTACTTAAGTACATTAACTAAATTGCATATTTTATGTGTGACCCAGGAGAATATCCTTTGGCTGAGAAATTGTGGTGTAGAGGGAAGTGGGCCACAGGGCAGACAGATTTGGAAGGGGAAAGCAGTTTTTTAAGATAGTCATTCATTTTAATTTTCAGATGTCCATTTTCTAAATATGGTGTATAATACAGATGTGGATATAAAATTTAAAGTCTTAACTGATCCTCAGTATAATGGGTACAAATTGGGAAATCAGTAGCCTAATGCCAGTATTTAAATCATAGTTATTCAGGCAGTCACTAGGAAATTGGTGAGAATACAAGAAAAGAATTCCAGTATCAAGGCTTGTATATGACATCAGAATTTATGCAAGTGAGGAGTATCTAGTATATGTGCATGGAGAGGTGGGATTTTGGACTTGTAGGACAGCCAGAAGATCTTGGGTAAGAAGGACAATTGAACTAAGGATTTCATATTGCAGGGCTCTAATTTCTCTTCAGGAATGAAATGCATAGGTAGCTTTTACACTTTTCTTTGTGAAAGACATTGAGAGATGGTAGATCTGCATAAAAAACTCCATTTTCTATCCAAGCAGAAAAAGTTGAACTTCCAAGCACAAAAGCCATCTGAAGCAGAGTTCCCAAGCAGGCATACATGTGCCTGGAACCTTGGGTGTATGTCCAAGAAGTGTCCAGAAAATTATATTGTAACAATTTTAGGTTCAGTGTAACTGCAGAACCAAATAATTTAGTGTAACAGTAAGGTAGACTTGGATTTCTGAACCTGTTACAGTTCTGAGAATCACAAGTTTAATTAGGTTAGGGATTTGGAGGAAATTTGTCTTCTTGTGTGAGAAGAAAGGTAATTTATGTTTACTCAGGGAAAAGTGAAAACTGAAAAACAGATATAAATCCATTTCTTAAATTGTATTTCTGCTAAGAGGGAAGTCAAGTAAGACTAAATCCTACAAGTAGTGAATCCGAGAAAACTTTGCCATTACCAAAATGAAAGAGAAGCAAAGTAGGATGAAATTATATAAACAGCTGTTTTAAGCAGTATGAAAAGAATAAAAACATCAGAGAAGACATCATAGGTAAAAGTCATAGTGGAAACCTATAGCTAGGCATTAGGTGAATATTCTAACTACCTATCTCTCCATATTTCAAAAGAATAAGAGCAATGTGACATGATTTCACACTAGTCTTTTAGTGTCATTTCTTGGATTTATTAGGTATGAAATGCACATATAAGTTATTTTGAAATCATACATCATTAGGATGTGGCAGTTCTGTACCTTTGTTTGAATTCCATAAGAAATAATTATGTTTGTTTCATGGAGATTACTATTTTTTATATCATTTTAGATGTCCAGAAAGTACATGGTCGTATTCAGACAACCCAGCAAAATCAAGAGAAATATTTTCGGCAAGTTGTAACTGCATCAGCTGAGGCGAAGGTTGAAATGGGAAAAGCATTTAATGTGAACTCAAACTATACTTCAGTTCTGAATATAAAGAATGGAAACTATTCAAGAGTGAAGCCTGAGGAACTTAGTATATGGCAAAATCTGCTTCTCACTGGTGATCTACATGAGGTCCCGACTGGAGAGGAGCCTGTTGATCTTAATGTAACTGGGAGATCCTTCAAACTTCCTGAGCATCTTAGTCTGCATAACAAGGTTAAAGGTGTGCAAAAGCATCTTCAGTATTGCGGACAAGAGAAAATCTTCAACATGAAAGCTGTATTGACCCACAGAAGGATTCATGTGCCAGACACTTACAGTAAGTTCAATGAATACAAGAAAGACTTTGATAAGTTAGCACTTATTTCTGAAGAGATCACTCAAGTAAGGGAGAACTCAGTTGAATATAATGTCTATCATGAAGTGCTGTATAACCAGGCTAAACTCGTTAACCATGAGAAAGTACAAAAAGGACAGAAATATTATGAATGTAGTGGTTTGGGAGAACCTTTCATCAGCAAAATATATGTTGTAAAACACCAGAGAACACAAGCAGAAGAAGAGACCTATAGATGTAATGAATGTGAGAAGACTTTCTGTCAAAAGACAGAACTCAGTATGCATCAGAGAATCCACAGAAAAGCAAAACTCTATGAAGATTATGAATGTGGAAAAAACTTCATCCGGAAGCAAAACCTCAACAGGCGTCTGAGAACTCACACAGGTGAGAAGCCACATGAATGTAATATGTGTGAAAAAGCCTTTTACCGTAAGTCACACCTCAACAGGCATCAGAGAATTCACACTGGTGAGAAACCCTATGAATGTAAAGAATGTAGGAAAACTTTCTACCATAAATCATCTCTCATTATACATCAGAGAACTCACACAGGTGAGAAGCCTTATGACTGTGCAAAATGTAGGAAAGCTTTCTACTGTAAGTCAGACCTTACAATACATCAGAGAACTCACACAGGTGAGAAACCGTATGAATGTGAGGAATGTAGGAAGACCTTCTACTCTAAGTCACATCTCACAATACATCAGGGCATTCATACAGGTGGCAAACCATATGCATGTGAAGAGTGCAGGAAAACATTCAACCGAAAGTCGAACCTCACTGTACATAAGAGAACTCATACAGGTGAGAAACCCTATGCATGTAATATATGTGGAAAATCCTTTTACAGGAAGTCACACCTCAGTACACATCAGGGGACACACAGAGGTGAGAAACCATATGAATGTAAAGAGTGTAAGAAAACATTCAATCATAAGGCAGCCCTCACCGTACATCAGGGAACTCACACAGGAAACAAACCATATGCTTGTGCAGAATGTAAAAAAACTTTCCTCCATAAGTCATCTCTCACTGTGCATCAGAGAAGCCACACAGGTAACAAGCCTTATGCCTGCGAAGAATGTAGTAAAGCTTTCTACTGTAAGTCACATCTCACTGTGCACCAGAGAACTCATACAGGTGAGAAGCCGTATGAATGTCAAGAATGTGAGAAATCCTTTCACCAGAAGTCATACCTCAGCAGGCATCTGCTAACTCATGAAACAGAGAAACGATTTGAATGTAAACAATGTGGGAAAACTTTCTACCATAAAGCATCCCTCATTATACATCAGAGAACTCACACAGGTGAGAAACCATATGAATGTCAGCAGTGTGATAAAGCCTTTCACAAGAAGTCAAACCTCACCAGGCATCAGATAACTCATGAAAGTGAGAAACAGTTAGAATGTAGGAAATGTAAGAAAGCTTTCTCCCATAAGTCATCCTTCATTTTACATCAAAGGACTCATTTAGAAGAAATCATGTGAATATAATAAATGTGAAAAACTTACAGAAGCCAACCTGATAGAACATCTGAGAATTCACACAGAAGAGAAAATCTAAAAGTATAATGAATATGAGATTTTTTTCATGAGGATGCACCCATTAACAGGCATCAAGGAACGCAGAGACTGACTCTATAGCAGAGACTATGTCTTCCAAGATTATGATTTTCTGTGGAATACACAGTTTGCATTTTTTCAGCCTCTGATACTATGTTTTGAACCATGTACTGGAACTGTATAGTAGAATGTGAATACTTCGATCCTAGACCCCACAAAATCTATTAAATTCTTCTCGGTTCTTCTCCTTGAGTTCTTACGTACACATTGGGCCTGTAACAAATCTGGCTGCTGAGGGTGGTCTTGTGAGCCATAGGTCACTGTTTAAGACAAACATAATCGATCCCGAAGAGCATACCTCTTCCTACCTTTTTCTCTTATATTCCTATGTAGTTCACATGAGTGAGAAATACTCGGTTGCATGATTGTGTTTTTTCTGTTTGCATTACAGTGCAAATCTATAATAGCTAATTCACTTTATAAGCCATCTGAGAGATTTTCTCTGTGCTTTAATATTGTAGAATTTACACAGGAGAAGTCTAACACCTCTTATATTCAAGTTAATTTATGGAAAACATGCACTTGTTGACAGATTGTAGCAAGCAGAAAATGCTTTAATAGGCAGGAAAATTTCACTGAACACTTTGAATAAGGAAGATATTCGTAAATTTGTTTCATTGTATGAGAGCTTCCAACAAACCTTTCATATTTTTTGTAGCAGCTATTAGTCTTGAAGGAAGGATAACTGTCAGTTTGTGTAATATAAATGTTGGTTTTTCAACTGGAGATGTTAAATATACTATTGGAAATCATTTAAAAATATTTCACTGTATACCGGTATGTAAATATCAATCAGTATTTTCTGTCCAGGCAGGCAGTTGAGCAGCCTCCAGTGCACAAAACATCCCATAACATATTAGTAATTTGTATTAACATACTTTACTTGTTGGGACCCAGTATAACTGCAGAGCATATATATATATATAAGTTTTTGTACTATAATGACAGGCTGAGCGTATACCTCAGTGTTAGGGTGTATGCTTACCATGCATGAGGGCCTGTGTTTTCAGTGCTTAGCATGAACAAGTCAAATAAATATTTTGGCTTAAGTGCCAGCGTATGGCCATTTATATTTTGGTATATAATGTGTGATATTGTACTATGTTTTGTTGCCTTTTCTCCTAATGTTTATAAATGTGCATGGATATTATGATAAAAATATCTTGTAACAGATTCTTTTCTAATGTACAAAGCTAACAGAAACATTGGTATGGAAATATACAAATCAAGCATATAATTGTTCATAGCTGAAATCTGAGCTAATTTAATCAACAATGAACATCCTCAGTGAAAAGCAGTCTCGGGAAGAATATTTCCCTTTTCATCCTGTTTTGTACTTTTAGATTGGGCAGCAGCATAGGTGTGAGAGTGTAAAATGAATGCTAACTGGTGAGTATGTACATTTCTGTCTTCTGTGATAGAGTGCTGTGACTCTTCCCAGAAATTGTCAGCATCCAATGACTTTTAGACCCAGACTTCACTGGACTTCTGTTTCTTTACCTAGAAAAAGAGAATAGTAATGGGCCCTGGGTTATTATGAGGGTTATTATGAGTAGTAAATTAGTGTTTTGGATAGTACCTGGCAAGTGGTAAGCTGCTATGATGGGCATTATCACAGCTGACAAAATTACTCTTGAATGAAGCCTGCAACAGAATGTTTTTTGTCAGCACAGCAGGCATTTCACTTTTTGTCAGCATACTGATTTGGTTTTGCCTCCGAGTTCTACAGTTATTCAGTGTTTTATCATGACCAAGTTTTTAGTTAGTTATTTGGTATTAGTCATTCCTTTAGTAGTAGTTTTGGGCTGAGCCCTTGAGCCAATTCTATATATTGACATATTAAGGATTTTATGGCATGTCTGGGAATGTCCCTACAAAGAAAGAGATGGCTCTTCTGTAGTGAGGTACTGGTCTTTGTGGACATATGTCTTGATTACATATTTAGACTCATGTAGTATCATATACTGGCAAGGCAGAAAGCTGTGGCACTGAATGAATGATAATATATGTGAATTACTGCTGAACTGTCCAACCCAGGAGCTTTTCTCTGGGAGGGGGTCATTATAGAGAGTATCAGATTTCTATTTGTCCATAAGCAAAGGCCATCTTAGTTATAACAGTCTTAGCTATAACATAGCATTCATTTATCCCAGTCTGTGAGTCTGGAGTCCCCTCTGCCACCTGCACTGCTACCCACCAGAGAGAGCTCCACTAGTCCTTGTGTCTAGCAATTCATCTCAGAATTGCTAATTGCAAGATGAAAATTTCAGCTATCAGTATGTACACTGATTTGTAAGGAAGAAAAAAACCTTAGTTTTGAACATTTTATAGAAAAAGGCCAGAGCATGTCCTTATTCAAAAATTGATTATAGAGTAAAACTTTTTTTTGTAAGAAGCACAACAAGATTTTCTTTTTTTGTTGCTGAGGTAAAGTACTTGACAACCACAAGTTGAGGAAAGTTTTTTGTCAGCTAACAATTTGTAGTGGTTGCAGTCCTTAGTTGGCAGGGCAGCATAGCAGAGAGGCATTGCATAGGTGAAACAATCCATGGGAGAGCTGCTAGGAGGCGGTAAGCAGCCTGCCTTCTTTCTGTCCCTTTATATTCTGTCCAGGCTACAAGCCTATTGATTGGTGCTATGCACACACATGGTGGGGCATCCACTGTCCACACCCAGAACTATACTTAACCAATGTAGGAATACATGCCTTTAATGCACGTTCACACCCCAGAGATCCAGCCACCTCCAAAAATCCCCACCTATGAGTGAACGTTTGGGGGGACATCTGGATTCAAGCCATAATATACTGATAAGAGGATTAGTGTCAGAGTTTTATAGAAGTTGTAAACATCTGCCTTGCAGTTCAGCTTCAGTCCACAGTTAAAATTAGGTAACTTGAAGAGAGGTCTGTGATCATCGTAGGGAATGACTTCATTCAATATAGAATGTGAACAATGTCCAGGAAATAGAAATAAAAAAAGTGAAACCAGATCAGCATAATAAATGGGCACTGAATCATCAGGGTTAGGGTTAGAGTGTTAGGGTAAGGGGTTAGGGTTATAGGTTAGGGTTAGGGAGCCTGTTGCACACACCACACACTGCATCTATCAACTCTCTGGACACCAGGCTGACCCCAAAACAGTGGACTCGCACACTGCCCCTGCCCTGAGAGTCTCTGGGTTCCCCGCACACAGTCAAGATTCCCTGAAACACCCTGGGGGCCTGTCAGCTACACAGCCATGCCATCTATCCCCTCACTGGACACGAGACCCTAAAACAGCGCAGTGGCACAGAGCCGCCTGCCGGTGACAGGAACTTGAACCAGGGTGCCACTCCAACAGGGGAGGCTATTCCAACAGGGGAGGCTATTCCAACAGGACTGGATACACTTACAGGGGACTGACTCCAACGGGAGGCTATTGAAACAGGAGTGGAGCCTCACACGGGGCAAGCTCAGACAGGGGGGCAACCCCTGGGGATGGTGACAGACCCTGGGGGCAGGAACTCAAACCAGGGTGCCATTCAAACAGGGGAGGCTCTTCCAACAGGTGAGGCAATTCGAACAAGAGTGGACCCTCGCCCAGGGGGGCAAATTTGGCAAGGGGGTGTAACTCGGAAAGGGGGAGGCCACTCGGGGGGGGGCCACTCGGAAAGGAGGAGGCTTTTCGAACGGGAGGCTATTCAAACAGGGGAGGCTATTCGAACAAGAGTGGACCCTCGCACAGGGGGCAAACTTGGCAAGGGTGTGTAACTTGGAAAGGGGGGGCGCCTCTCGGAGAAGGGGCACAGTCTGTCTTCCCTGCCTGCCTGCCTCCTGCCCGCCAGTCCCAGAGGCCTGCAATTCCCCTGAGCCGCCACCGGGAGGCGCGCGAGAGACCATCCCCGGCCTGTGCCTGCGCAGTCTGCGCCCACTATCCCCAGAGTCTATCCCCTCAGCCAACAACAGGCTGACCCTAAAACACGGGACTCGGACACGGGCCCTGCCCCGAGAGACTCTGGGATCTCCGCAGACTCAGATTCCCGGCAACACACTCTGGGGGCCTGTAATCCACGCAGCCACGCCATCAATCCCCTCACCGGACACCAGGCTGAGCCTAAAACACCGCAGGGGCACAGAGCCGCCTGCCTGCCGGTGACAGACTCTGGCTGGGGACAAGAACTCGAACCAGGGTGCCACTCGAACAGGACAAGCTACTCCAACAGGGGATGGTTCAGGGTTCAGGGTTCAGGGTTCGGGTCCGGGTCAGGGTCCGGGTCAGGGTTAGTTAGGGTCAGGGTTAGTCAGGGTCAGGGTCAGGGT